CCTACTATGCTAAATGCAAATTTTGAAGCTACGGTTGAAATTGGAATTATCAAAACATCTTTAGTAATTTTTTTTTGCAAAATTGGATACTTTATCCCATTTATTTTCCATCATTCAAGAATGTCAAAAGTAGCATTCCTAGGCAAAACTTCTTTCTTCCAAGCAGAGTTATATTTCAAACTTTATTTGTGTTTCAACTGTATCATTCACAAATAAGTCATGATCATTAAGAAAATTATTAATATTTAGATTATCGAAGTTTGACTCATTGACACTTGCTCGTGAAGTTGAACTTTTCACTATTCCCTAGTTTTAGTTTGATACTCTTCAAACAACGAGTAACATAATTTCTTGATATTATTAATTTCAATTGAATATGAGTTTCATAAAATTTAGAGAAAAAATACTCCAACAACATCAACTTGTATCTAAAATAATAGCAATATTATTGTATTAATTAATTAATATATATATATATATATATATAAATAAATAAATAAATAAATAATTATTAAATAATTATATTATTATATTAATACATACATATATATATATAAAGAGAGAGATGAGGGATTCGTTTACTCCAAGTAGACTTACTTCATTCAATAACTCATGCTTTATATCAAATCCCACCGATCCAACCGTTAAATTTAAAGTTCTTAATGCATACATCAAATCTGCAAAATTCTAAAAAATTTGAAAACCATTTGATATTTCGTTTCATTAATTCAAATTGATGGATAACATATTTTTATGATTATCCGTCAATTTGAATTATATATAATTTTTTTTATAAATACTAATAAAATCAATGATATTTATTTCCTTTTTTAATATATGAAAACGTGAGGAAAAATACATAAAAATTGATATAAATACATTTATAACATAAAAATTGATATAAGTATATAAGGAAAAAAATATAAAATTAATTTATTAATAAACAAGCTACTCACGGGATTGCTATATCGATACAAATTTTACAAATTGGGCCTATATTCACACGGACTGTGGGCTAAATGAATCGGTCCACGGACTTGGGTTCATATACCTACACTAAAAAAAAAATTATTACCGATGGATTTTTTCCTAAGAATAAATATCCGTATGAAAAATGATATTATCGACAGATTTTTTCGACAGATACGTGTCCGTCTGAAACATAAACAATTCTGACGGATATTATCCACAAATTTTTTCTGTCTAAAATTTCAAATGAATGTTACTCACGGATTTTTTTCGTGGAAAAATTATGTGTTTCAGACAAAAATTTCTCAAGGATTATCTGTCTAAAACGTTGTTCGTAGAAAATGTAAAAAGTTTGTGGGTAACTTTAAAAAATATAATGATAAAAGATTAACAAATTAAATTCTTAAATACTTAACTAATTTTCTCATGCTAATTAATTTACCATACTAACTATGATATATAAAATTTATAATTAAATGATAATATAAAATAATAATTTACTATCAATATATTTTAATGTTATATAGTTAATTTTATTTAAATTGAGAAATATATAATTAGTAAAATGATATTAATGCATGATAATCTAAAATTAAAAGATAATTTCTTAACATTTATAATAATTTTACCAATTTTGAACTATACTATTTTTCATAAAACAAGATTGTTATTCAATACAATTTTAAAATAATTTTTTAAAAATATTATCAACAATACCCATGGAATTGCGACGTTATTACTAATGAATGTATCCGTGGATAATTATTTTTTTATTAATAATTTAATTTTAAAATGATAAAAATTAATTCATAAGTAATTATGATAAATAAAAATTAAATCAAATAAGAAGTTAAAAAATATATACAATTCTTCTAGTTAAAGAAAAGCATGTAAAAATCCTATAGCACAAAAAAGACATTTGTGCTTTATATATAGAAGTTAATTATTCTTTGATTAGTTACTAATTTTAATTTAATATATATTTATTTTAAATTTCAAGTATGAATATAGATTTTTTTAAACAAGGTTATTATTTAATACAATTTTGAAATAATTTTTTTAAAATATTATCAACATACCCACATAATTATCCACGGATGTATCTGTGGGTAATTATTTTTAATAATAATTTATGTTAAAAATGATAAAATTAATTTATAAGTAATAATGATAAATAAAAATTAAATTAGATTAAAAAAACTAAAAAAAATATATAAAGTTCTTCTAGTTAAAGAAAAGTCTTTAAAAACATTATGGCATAAGAAAGGCATTTGTGTTTTATTTATAGAAGTTAATTATTCTTTGATTAGTTACTAATTTTAATTTAATATATATTTATACAAATTTTAAATATGATTTATTGATTTAACTATAATATTTATTTTTATATATAATTTATTATAAATTTTAATTATATATAATAAAAATGTAACTCTTGAAATACACAGACTAAAATATTACTATTTTTAATTGATTTACATAAAAATTATAGTATTATATTATATTGTAATTTGTGAAACATACTGGAATGAGAGGATCTAAAGATTGTATAAGTATGAGATTGTATAGTTGAGGATGACTTATAGAAATTAATTTGTACTATCTATACTAATAAGATGCATATACTATTTGGTAGCTTGTTTCATAAGAACTTCACAGTTAAGCGTGCTTAATATGGAGTAATTTACGGATGTGTGACCTTCTAGGAAGTTTTCTAGAAAAATGTGCAAGTGATGACAAGGCACGCTGAAAAGTCTTATTTTGATTTGTGAGGTCAATCTTTGATCCTAAAAGCAGACGAATATCTCAAAAATGGCTACCCATGGAGGGTTCTGACCAACGAGGAGTTGCATGAAGTTTCGTGGAGTAAAGCTGCTGAAAGGTCATATATGATGGATGCTGCACTAAATAAGATTGTTATTTAATATAATTTTGAAATAATTTTTAAAAAATATTATCAACAATACCCACATATTTATCCATGGGTAATTCTGTCGGAAAGTTACCCATAAATTATAATCCATCGGTAAATGTTTCAGACGAGTAATTTACCGACGGATTATTGTTCGTCTGTAATCTGTCGGAATTAACCGACAGATTTTTTGGATTACCCACGAATTTTAGTCGTCTATAATTTCAAAATTTCTTATAGTGCTACCCCTACTGTGTTTATTGACTTAACCAATCTGAGGTGATTCTTCCTGGTTGAGTTTGTAGATCCTCCTCTAGCAAAGCCTCTAAAAATGGTGTTGATAACCTCTTAGAGTTGAGTTCCAAGTTGATCCTCATCCACCAATTATGGGTTAGAATATTGGCAAGGCCAATCATTTCTTTCCCATCGCTAGTCCTCCTCTCATACCGGTGGTCACCATTATGGACTCTAGAAGTACTGGCTCTTGGCATAAATATATGCAAATGACCAACCTATATTCATTCTTCTATCTTATCCCACAATGCCAAACACTCCTCAGTGGTTTGTTTATAGTTGCGATAATATTGACAAAGCTTGGTTCAATCAACCTTTTGAGGAGTAGGAATTGGTTTGACAACCATAATCAAGTCATTAATTACTTATGTTTTTTTTTCCTATATCTTAGCCCTACTGTCATTTAGGGGAGTGTAATGGGTACACCTCAAAGGTTTGTGCTCTCAAACCATAGTTGATCAATCCTTTACTTTTTTTGTCTAACTTTGACTCATTCTTCTTTTCTTTACCAACCTCTAAGTTAGCCTTTTCTCAAAACACAATCAACTCCTCCATCTACATGCATTTAATAGCTCTTCAACAAATTTCTTCCACATTTTATGCTAGTTTTTTGTACAAGGTATCTAGAAAGGATTTGAGCTTTAAAAAGTTGATAACATTTGATGTAACACTAAGTTGAGGCCTAAGTTAAGGATTTCTAGCTCAACCTTGCTAAGTCTATCCTTAAAAGTAGAAAGGGGTTTATTTTCACCTTGCTTTATATTAATAAGTGATGAGATGCGACTTGCTGGTAATGAATTATGTGCTAAAACTAGATACCAATGCTTGAAAGGAGTCAATTGAACTCGAGAGGAGTTGGGTAGAACCATCACATAACTACTCCCTTAAGGGATACAGAAAAGAGTCAACACATTATTATGTTATTACCGGTGAGAATGATGACCTACGAAACATACAAATCCATGCTTAACCATCGAGACATTGTGCTTTTATCTTGAGTGGTCAAACATTGTTTGACTTCTACTCTTGATGGTTAAGCTTATTATTTCTACCTTATAATGGTTAAACATATACTATTTCTACTTGTGCCTTTAAGGTAGTTAAACATTTTTGTTCTATTAAATTGTTAAGACCTGTATTATACGTTGTAATTAATGATTAAACTTGTATTTGTTGACTTTTGATTATTTTTATTTTTATATATTTCTTAGTGGATATATTAATTTTTGACATTTTTTATTGTGCATTTTGATTTGTTTTGCTACTTAGTATTTTTTTTTATCCCAACTAGAAATGTGTGAACACATTCCAACTTGCGAATGGTTGTTATAGTTATAAAGGACTTGATGTGTAATCCTTTTGAATACACTCATTCATTCTCAATACATTACATTTTCAATATCTTATTTTCTTCCGGTTTCTCCTCTCTATATCATGGATTCAAGTTATTATATTATTTTTGATTTTTTTTAATATAAACCAATTTAACCATTTTAATAATGACATTTTTGTATGACTATTAAACCATATTGTCTTTATCAAATCAATAAACAATTCAATTTTTATAACATTATTCTTGAAAATAAATTTTTTATTAATATTAAAATAATATAATAATAAACAAAAATTAGGCTTTAACTTTTAATTTTGTGTGATATTGCGTGGAACTCATTAAAGGAAAAAAAACTATTAATTTGGTGTGATATTGCCTGCACAGTTTTTTAAATATCCGCGTCACATCAAGGCTACGCAAGAGTCCAAAAAAGAGCACGTGATGTATTTGGACGGTTGCACCCTTTTCTTGTGTTTATTCATCTTCTTCCGCAGACAGCAACATTTGCAACTTCATCTGTTATTACCGTGGGGGCAAAATGAGCAACGAAATCCGGTTCTTTGAGCTCAACACTGGAGCTAAAATCCCTTCACTAGGGTTGGGAACTTGGCAGGAGACTTCCCAACCGGAACCTGGTGTCATTGCTCATGTTATAACTCATGCTATCAAGGTTTCATCTTATTTATGTTCTTATTATATGATTCCTCTTACCTTGTCTTTCTTTCTCTCCCATTTTGTTTCCCTGCTATTTTTGGATATTTTTTGCTTGCATTGTAGTTTAGCATGCAGTAACGTACAACAACACTTTGCCCGTAGATTTGATGGTGGTGTTTATTAGGCATGACAATCTAAATTGGACCCATTATCCGTAAATTATCTCAATTTGAATAGAAAAAATTCGTGTCCATAATATTTGGATTCAGATTTTTCTTGATTGATAAAATTGGGGACGGGCTGCCTCTACAGTGGCCTTGCCTTAGACGTCATGCATCCGTCCTACTTATTAATATAATTAAAAAATTATTCTTATATATATAAA